GTGGTGTGGGTTTAGAGTTAGCCCCTACTCAGAACAAAATTTGAGGCTTAAAAAAATTGAACAGTAATATAAAAGAGGTAGAAATTAAAAAGAGAAGTTGAGAATTAGATGATACTTGAACATTATATAAACTTTTGAATTTTTAATCTATGTGGATCTTTAGCAAGTAGTTTAATTCACATTACAGATAATCCCTGAAATGGGACAAGACACACTTTACATGATATGATCTTAAGGAAACTCAGTGACAGAGAATGGAAGAGATTTAGAGGTAATTTTTCTGAGGTGTTGTATGTAAGTTGATGGTGGATCTGGAACTATGGCACCAGCCCCTTGACTTTTAACTCTGTGTTTCCTTGTCCATAAATGTGTGCTGTCTATATGTAGCAGGAAAGTATAAAGCTTCCATTACAGAACCATTTCTGAATCAAACATCCAGCACCATGAACTTGGAGAATTGGTTCCCAGAGTATCCAAAAATAATTTCTTGTTGTATTTAAGCTAGTTATAAATTTATAACCCAAAATTAGTCATGACCAGACTCTTCACACAGCAGGAGGTCTCCATTCCTGGATATATCTGCAGTTCTGTCACTTGATCTTGTTGCTTTGTTTTTCTTCATTTATAATTTACTTCTCCCATGATGTCACCCAGAAAATTACTTGGAGACTATGATAATGAAATACTTTTGAGTAGTAGGTTTCAATCAGCTTCCAGGGCTTTAGGAAGTATTTCTCAAGGATTTTGAGATCTCCTACTGAAAAACAATTTAAAAGGAGAGTAGTCTAATTTCATTTCATTTTCCTAGCACAGAAACAAACATTATCATTATTAAATATGCATCTTCCATAAACAGAATATCAGTCAACTGACATATCAATGCATAAATGTATAAACAAATACAAAGAAAGATCTTTGTAATCACTCTTTCTTATTTACCAGGAGAAGGAACAATAAAAACACAAATATGCCCTGGCTGGTGTGGCTCAGTGGATTGAGCACCGGCTTGTGAACCAAAGGGTCACTGGTTCAACTCCCACCCAGGGCACACAGCAGGGTTGCAAGCTAGGTCCCCAGCAGGGGCCACACAAGAGGCAACCACACATTGATGTTTCTCTTCTTCTTTCTCCCTCTCTTCCCCCCTCCAAAAGTAAATAAATAGAATTTTTTTAAAAAATCACAAATACTTATTTTTGATACTTTGTTTCTTGAGTAAGGTTGCCTAAGACTGTTTACTAAATACAACTATACAAGGTTTGTCTGGAAAAAGTCCAGCCATTGCTTATATAACGAGAATGGTTTGCATGACATTGATGTAACCTGGAAGCCAAGGAGAGTGGACTGGAATGTGCATGTGTGAACAATGATGACTTCACCACAGTAGTCAATGAGGGGGTCAGTCGATGCCATTGAGTGAGTATGTGTTCTGTGTGGCTGTCACATTCAAAATGACTGAGTGAGTAGAGGAATGAATCTGTACCAAATTTTACTTAAGCTTGAACATTCTTCCATGGAAACTATTCAGATGACTCAGAAGGCCACAGTTATGGGCAACTGATGATTGGCAGCTTCATTACAACAACATGCCCATTCATGAATCACATCTCATGCAGAGTTTTTTTTTTGTGAAACATCAAATCACCCAGGTGACTCAGCCCTGCTACAGCCTGGATTTGGTGCCTTGTGACTTTTGGCTTTTCTCCAAACTAAAATCACCTTTGAAAGGGAATAGATTTCAGACCATTGGTGAGATTCAGGAAATATGACAGGGCAGCTGATGGTGACTGGGAGAACTGTGTGAAGTCCCAAGGTCCCCTACTTTGAAGGGGACTGAGGTGTTATTGTTCTATGTGCAATGTCTCTTGTATGTTCTTCACTAAATGTCTCTAATTTTCATAGCACGTGGCTGGGTACTTTCTGGACAAACCTCATTTGCCATTTAAGCTATGCTACAGAAACTGAAAAATCTATCTCACATATATGTTTTATTAATTTTGGAAGATATGCTCCATTCAAACCCCCTTGGAGCCTATATAAAAGGGGATGAATATGATTGGTGACACTTTACCATTTCTCTCTATCATATACATTCTCTGGGTCTGTATGTTGGTTATGGATTTGAGAGTGGAAAACCAGAGTAAAGAGACATCTGTGTGAAAGAAATTTTTGAAAATGCAGCATGAGTACAAACCAATATTGACTTTATCTGCCACCACACATATCTGTTTCTGTGGCTCCCTGATGCTATTGACACTAAGTGGATAGAGCTGCAGAGTTGAGGTGCAAGAGGGCAGTGAGGGAAGGTGAGATGCTCTCTGCATAAAAAAGCTCATAATTTTATTTAAAGGCCCTGGTTGCAACTGCATGGGTCATAAATGCAGTTTCTAATTTAATTTTAATTAGAAATTAACCTTAAGAATGAAACAAAGTGATGTAAATAAGCTCAGCTATGTCTAATATAGATAAACCACATATTCTCTTTTTGTAACTTTGTCCAAAGCTCCATATTGTTTTTTAGAATATCTTTTCTTTTTTTTTCAAGACAAGGTCTCAATCATACAAAGATGCCAGGTGGGGTACAGACCAGGTAATTTGCCCCCTCACTCCTCTGTCATGCTCAGACATGACACCAGCTGAGGCTTCTTAAATCCTGAAGGGATGTTTAATTGATGTTTCTAGTGTTGTGGAAAATGAACAAAGGTTCATGAACAGAGGTGGTATTTTCATCATCACACAGAAATCTTGGGTTTAGAAAACACTTCTAACCTAACACAAATGTTCTTAATCCAGATAAAAGACTATTATTTGCTAAAAATCCAACATGTTTCTTATGGCTTTGTTTGTATACAGCAGTTCAGAATAAGATGAAAATCACCAAGCTATTAGAATTTAACCTCATATCATTTCTTGGCATGGCACTGACCAGTATATAGTTTCCATTTTCTGTCACATCTGCTGCCACTTTCCTGACATATCTGGCCTTGGACCCTTCCTCATATTCTCTCCTCCACAGGGAGAGCACAGACCTCATGTCTAGAGGCTTAGTGTGTGGTCCATGCTTGGTACTCCTTAAGAATGGAGGCACTCATTTGTGCTAAGATTGAAATACCGATGTTTGGGATCTATTTCTTATTTATGGCCCCTGTTTCTGAGATATATATAAGGAATTAAATGTTATGATCAAAGACTTGCAAAGGACATTTAATAAAATGTCCATGAATAGAAAATACATGTTGGGAAGTTACCAACCATAGTGAAAAGAAGAGATGAACAAAAGTTTGAAACCACAGGGACAAGGGCAGCCTAGTCAGTGGGTAGGAATGTTTGTAAAATCCTAAGGGGAAGATGTCACTGATGTAAGAAATATCTCACTTGATCAAAATAAAAAGACTCACATGACAGTTTTAGTTAATATTAGGCAGTAACAGGTGAATTGCCAAAACAAGTGTGGTACATAAACTCTGAAATTTTTCCTTTCCTGGATGCAACTGAATGAGAGGCATCCCATGTAATATGAAATACTAGTGTTCTCAGTCAGCTATTTTCATTTCATCTGATTAAAGAAACTCAGAATGAAGTAAACAGTGAACTGAAGCTGTGGAAAAGGAGGAAGAGAAAGAAAAATGTCAAAAGTGTAAGTTCTGAGGGCGCTTCCTAATTATTATATACAGTAGAAACACGAGTAACAGTTAATAAACTCTCTGTGGCCTTTGTTAAATTTAAAATAATATAGAGACAAATGTGAAATATAATTTTATTTATCTGACTTTTTTCACATATAAACTTTCATAAAAACATGTTCAGGCCTTCAAAAGTACTTTTCATTTTCAAAAACAAATCCAAACTTATTGGCCTTTTTGTTTAAAATGATGGAAATTTATCTGGGTGAGCAAATGGTCCCATCAAACCACTATTCTTAAATATCCTTTTTAATATCTCTCATGTCTTCTATGAAGGCAGAACTTGCCAGCAATAGAGATGCTGCTACAAAGAAATTATATTTTAAATAATAGTAAAATGTAGTTTTGAGCCCTGGCTGGTGTAGCTCAGTGAATTGAGCACAAGCCTGTGAAGCAAAGGGTTGCCAGTTTGATTCCCAGTTTGGGCACATATCTGAGTTGCAGGCCAGGTCCCCAGTAGGGGCCATGTGAGAGGCAATTACACATTGATGTTTCCCTCCCACTCTTTCTCCTTCCTGTCCCCTCTCTCTAAAAATAAATAAATAAAATATTTTTTAAATGTAGTTTTGGGTGGTTGAAGTGACCAATTTTCCTCTTTGGCCTGGACAAACTTGGGAAAAACATCTTGTTTGAGATCTCAGCAATTCTGACATCAGATAAAAGCCAAGAAAGTAAATGGCACTAGGCTTTGTCAATGTGCCTCTCTGGTCACACATTCGACGTGGTAAACTTACATGAGGATTTTTTTCAAAGTTGCTACTGTACCAGCCTCCATAGGGCAGGACTTGAGGTGGATGAACATCTCAGAAATCCTTTGCTATCATTCAGTAGTAAGCTGATGATTTCATTGCAAAAGCATGTTAGGCTTATGTTACTTGGGCCACACTGGAATCAGATGTCATCAATATTTTTATTTTATGGACAGTGTGACTCAATTTAAAAGCAAACCATGCAGTACCAACATGTGGGCATTCACTGGTAGCTTTGTAGTATTGACCAGGTGGAGACCAGCTGTACATTGACCTTTTGTACATAGATTCATTTCGCACTTCAGGATTGTAAGGGTGAGAGGAAATCATAGATTCAGTTCTCACCATAGCTGGTAAGTAGCATGGCCAGCATTGGACTGCAGCACCAGAAGCCATTTTGCTGTGTTCTCCATGCAGGAAGGTCTACCATTGGTGAAGATGAAAAGCATTGCATCTTCCAAGTGCAGCACTTTGTAACAGGTAGTTCATTGGAAGTCCAGTGATCCCCATCCATTACCAATGATACCCAACCATTACTAGGACATTGGTTTTGTTATACTGTTCCCAAATGTTATTTGTTCAAAACCCCAAGTTTAACAGAAGAGTAGTCATCTGCCCACACAATGGATGTAGATAAACTTTTTTTTTTCATTTGGAAAATTGATTTTCTCTGATGCCTGTGTAGCAGCTCTTTCAACTTGTCCTTGAAGACGCTGGTTGTGAGTGTGAAGAGGATTGGGTTCAAGGCGCTGTTCACTGGCAGGAAAAAAATGACTACCCAGGAAGTGATTGTGTCTGGGAAAAGAAACAAAGTGTGAAAAAGAGACATGTTTCATAATATTTTCCTAACATTTGTAGTGCATGCTATTTTCGAGTGGGCTGCCTCATTCACTTATGTTTTCTCTCACTGTATTAAAATCTCTGCTGGAAGAGTGTAGGAGCCATAAAAGTGAGGTTATATCATTTAACTTTTCTGAATTTTAATAACTACTTTGTAGGCTGTTGTGAAGCTAAATGAGGAGAAGAAATATGTAAAAACATTTCATAAATTATAAATTGATGTATAATATGTTTTTCTTTATAGAAAAACAAGAACATGAAGAAATAAATGCTTAATTAGTAAACAGCATTCAGGAAACTTCTTGTCCAGGGTCAGATGAACTTTGATCTTAAGTTCTGGAGGGCTTATTGCCTTCATGTTTTGGCTGTCCTATTCAGAAGGGATTCTGACAGTTTGAAGAAGAAAAGCCAGTACATTTCCAAACTTAATGCATTCCTTCTGTGTGAAGCTTTACAAATTCTAGTAGAATATACTAGGAAAAGATGCCACAAAGGGTTCTTTGTGAGGAGACACTTTGGATTAGCTGAGCATCTTTAGTTGAAAAAACATGTATTTGTCCTGGCTGAGTAGCTTGGTTGGTTAGGGCATCATTCTTGTACCCCAAGTTTTGGGGTTCCATCCTCAGTCAAGGCACATACAAGAAACAGCCAGTGAGTGCATAAATAAGTGGGACAAGAAATTGATGTTCCTCCTCACCTCTCTCTCTCTTCCTCTCTCTTCTCTCAAGTAAATGAATAAAAAAAACTTTAAGAAAAAGCATTTATGTAATAATATTGTGTTAAAATACTGTGGAAAGATATAAGGCATAGTCTGTACTCATAGATACATTAAAAACTAACGCTGACATGAGACAGTTAATATGAGGCCAATAAGTGAACTACAAACAAAACTGAATGAATATTTCATCAGTGGAGTTGGATGGGAATGGGTTGGGAGAGGTATGGAATGGTAGTATGGAAGGAGGAGTGCTTGGCTTAAACCTTGGAGGATGAAAAGGGATGAAAGGGAGGATGTTTCATAGGCTAGAAGCTTACAGGTTGAAAGTATAATCCAGATGGAGGGAACAGCTTCAGCAAAGGCAAGACTTAAAAGAAGTTCAGAAAAAAAAGTTCAATAATTCTAATGGGCCTGGATCACAGAATATATGAAGGTGGAGCAGGAGGAATAAAAACATTTTTAATTGAATTTTTGGGGTAACATTTGTTAATAAGATTAGATAGTTCTTAGGTGTTCAATTGTATAATACATTATCTGTATATTGCATTTTGTGTTCACCACTCCAAGTCAAGCCTTTGGTCTTACTGCTACATCCAGCATTGGGACTTTATTCCATGAGCAACAGAAACCAAAAGACACTTCAGTCTCGTTTAATTTGAAATGTTAGGACATAGGAATTGAAATATTTGGGAAGTTGTGGTATACTAGAGACTGTTCACCAAAGTCCCCATCTGTCACCAGTAATTAACGCTGCTTTCTGCATAACAACTGACTTTCCCTGAGTGATCTCACATATTCTTATGGCTTTGCTCTTGCCACCAGTAAAGCTACCCATTCCTCACCCCTTATCTTCACTTTTACATCTCCCCTGGCAGGAGGGGCGTCTATGCCTTGCTGTTAGATTAACTCAACTAATAGGTTGAGGGGATTCTGTGGATGGCAGGCAGGCAAGGTCTCTCAAAACTCTGTGCACAAACCAGAGGGACTTAGATGTTACTTGTACAGTTATCACTGTTTTAATGAGGGCTTCCCATGCTTTCTTCCCTGGATAAATTTCCCTGGTAGATTTGCAGAAGCCTGAAACAATGAATTGAATATGATATCAAAACTGTTTCAGTGAGTCAGGCTAAAGCCCTGGGTGGCCCCTAAATGGGTAAGACTTCTAGGTCTCAGAAAAGGATTCAAGTACAATCATAACTAATGACAGGTTATTTTTTCTGATTCAAGTAGGAGAGTGAACAGGGACCCTGGCCTCTTGGCTGAGGCACCTTCTGTGGAGCACCTAATGTTCTGAAGAGCCTAGTGTGAGGATCATTTGGCCAGGACCATGCCACAGACCCATGGTTCTTAGTAAGGTACATGTGCCTAGGAATAACAGGAGCCTTTTCCAAAACACCCCTGTAGAGGCCTTAGCCTTTATGGATTAAATTCAGAGGCCTGAGGTAGAAACTGGGCATGAATATTTTGATTTTTCACATGTACTCTTGGTTAAGAACATTTATCTTGCTTAGGTAGAGGCAAGACAGTAAGACTTTTTCTCTTACTCTTGTTTTTTTTTATTATTCTTTTTAGATCACACCACTGCCCAGTTGCTGTGTTAGAATACTGAGTATAAAACACTGAGGGAACTAATAACTGTTTATATTGAAGTTGTAGGCATTTATGGGGAATTGTAAGGCACTGTGTTCTGACCTCTTTAAACAAAGGGCATAGACACATTTTCATATGTCTATGGGGACTAAAAAAACATTGGTTCATGTACACAATGGAATACTATGAAGCAGAATGAAAGAAGGAGCTCCTACCCTTTGCAACAGCATGGATGGAACTGGAGAGCATTATGCTAAGTGAAATAATCCAGGCGGTGAAAGATAAATACCATATGATCTCACTTATAAGAGGAATCTAACGAACAAAATAAACTAATGAGCCAAGTAGAACCAGAGACATGGAAACAGGGAACAGACTGATGGAAGCCAGAGGGGAGGGGAAGGAAGATAATTGTCAAAAGAAGGGGAACATGTCAAAGAACATGTATGAGTGAGCCACGGTCATGGACAATGGTGTGGGGATGGACGGTGGGAGCAAGGGGTGGGCTGGGTGGAGGAGGGCAAAGGGGGAAACGGTGGGACAACTGTAAGAATACCAATAAAAAAAGAGAAGGCACCGTGTATTTGGGAATAAGAGAAGGGACAGACCTGGTATTTCCACTTGGAAGAGGGAAAGAATTTTAATTACAAACACGGGAATCCAGCAGATGGCATCAGAGAACACGATAAAAAAGAAACGGTTTGCAACAGCCACCTCTCTTCCAATGCGATGCCTCACTTTTGTAGTCTGCAAGGCTGTTTTTTTAATGGAACAGAACATAACACCATAGGAAAAGACAATGATGAGGAAAGCCAGCAAGTTCACACCTGTTGGAAAAAGCACAGCTTTTAACATCTCACGAGCACACGTCAGCAGTGAAAATACTATGTTACTGAGATGTCTAATGTGGTACGTGTTACCCTGAACCTCCAAGAAGCACTATTTTGTATCAGCTCAGTGCTACCCAGCCAAATCCTGAGTTCAAGGGTATAAGCTTGAATAAGCTGAAGGAATAAGGTTTGCCAGAGCAGAAAGAATTCTAGACTTCTGAAATTCGTATTTGGGTATCATGAGGTAAATTTTAGTTTTTTAAAGCATGAAAAAGAACTACTTTTGTTTTTATCTCTCTGTTAATTCAAAGCTTTAAGGGATTATGGTAATCATATGTACATCTTAAAAAATAAGTATGACCTCATTCCTTTATATTATAAAAATAAATGAGATAACCTAGGAATATCAAGAAGATAATAGCTTAAACTTCAGAAACATTATTCTTCATTTTTTGGAATTAAATATCAATAATACATAAAACAAAAATATATTTTTGGTTTTTTTAGATTGCTTATAGTCATTTAAACTAAAATTCAAAACCTTGTATAATTGTTTTAGGACAAAAGCAAGAAAAAAATTTAAAATTTAACTGTATGAATTACTCTCTTAGAGTTAAATATATTCAGAAGGTTCTCACTTAACATCATCCTGTAACACTGACTTTTTACTCACTTTGTCATATTATTGCTATAATAAAAATCCCAAGAGTGATCATATTATACCTTATGATGAACATAAAATTTTCACATAATACTAAAGTTGTTAAAAATGTTCATTTGACTTCGACTGTATGTAAGACTGGTGAAGTCTAGAGGAAAATATTATAAATTCAAGGTATTCTGTTGTTTTCACTTAAAATTTTTCATTTTTATGGAATCTCAATATAAAACCATACAAGATTTTGTTAAAGATTGATTTATATTAGGTCTCTTGTCATAAAGTTGAGAATAAAATAAAATGACTGTTAAGATGATCCTCTGGTACAAGTTTTAAAAACAGACCTACAGGAAGGATCAAAGTATATCTTCTGAAGGCACAATAAAAATGTGAGATATTAACAGCAGGGGGGTCTGGGTGATGGGTATAGAGAAATTGTGCTATCCTTGCAACTCTTTTCTAAACTTGATTTATTCTAAAATGTAAAAAAAATTAAAATTGTATGTTCTTATATTCTTTAAGCAGAGAGTTGGACTCCTCAGAGAGAGAAAAGGAGACAGAGAGAGGACTTCTCTGAGAGAAAGGAGAGAATCTTTTTATCTATCCAGAATAGATGAAAAAAACAAGAGATAAAAAAACTCTTTTAGCTGATTCCCACCCCTTAACTTCTCACACCGTAACTTCTTTCACCCTTCATCTGGGCCTATTCCCTGGCTTTGGGCCTCTAAGTCCTCTGCCTTCTCCTGAACACAACCTCTGCTGCACTTAGCTAATGCCTCCTCTCCCTGAGGGCCTCAGTTTGGATTCATTTCACTAGGAAGCCTCCTAGAACATGTTGTACAGGAGTAGACGTAAGGATGTGTCTTCTTCAGCCTGCGACATAAGGATGTGTCTACTTCTCCTCATCCCGCTTTCCGACTGCAGGTCTATGAGGAAAATCTGCTGTATCTCCAGTACCTGCAGTAGTGCTTGGCCTATGATAAGTGCTTCATAAATTCATGTTGAATTAATGAATATAATGCAATATAAAGTAATGCAATATAAAGTAACATAACATAGTCTGGTGTTCATGAAGGAAGCTCTCTATGAAGTGCACCTGTGCTAGGAACAGCTTACAATATCCTAGGAAGGACATATTAATAAAAATAGCTATAAAATAGGATAGTATGTGAGGAGTGTTATTAAAATTTGGCATATAGGGTTTTTATTTTTCAGAAGAAGAAGAGAAGGAATGGTGAAAAAGAGCTGGAGACAATGGCTAGGGCCATTTTGTGATGGACTTTCAGCAACTAATTTAAACTTGACCTTAGTAGTTTCAAGGTGTCATTGAAGGTCTCTGAGTAAAGGGAAGCATAGTTCCTTCAGTCCTCAGGGAGTTTATGGCAGTGGTAGGTACCACATGAATAGGAGAGAGGGGCCCAGAGGACAAAAGACCAGTCAGGGCTAATGTAACTCAGGGTTTAGTTAGTAAGGTTTTTAAAGGAAGGTATTAGAAGTGTGTTGAGAGTCCAGAAGAAATGGAAAGGGGAGGCATATTTGGATAAAAAATATTTGTGAAAAATAAAAATAGGCTTATTTACCAGTTAGATGGGAGAAAAAGATAAGAAGAGGAACTTGAATGATAATACTTTCATAAAGAGAGGACAGGGAATGTCCTTAATTTTAAACAAGTGAGATACCTATTAGATGATGAAAAGGGCTTTTAACCTTAAAGGGCTAAGTTTCACCTTCATTTGTAACAGAGAGGACATGGTCTTATTTTGTTAAAAAATAGTGGGGATTGAAGAGTTTTATGGTGCCCTTACATTGTTAACTTTGGAGAAGCATTTACCAAAGACGATAACCTTCCTGGAATTTCCACTCAGATAATCTCCTGTAAGTGAGTTTTCAGAATTTTATATTGTTATTTATTTAATCATATCTAGACTGTAAAAAAATAAATTCAAGTAACTTGGTAGTGTGAGAGAACAACTAAGTGACCTAGATTTCCTCTAGCTTATAGTCACTATGTATGAATATGAAATCAAAGGTGTGACATATAGTAAATCATGAAATATTGACAGTATGCTTTTTATGTTAAATCTCTATAACAAAAAGTTTAATAAAAATTCTGTAAATACACAACAAGGACTTTTAAAAAAAAGGAACACAGACTTATCTATATTTGTTTACTTTCTGAGATGAATAAAAATTACTTTGCCAAAATTTATGGCATTTCTATCAAAATTATACTTGTCCGGTGAATAAAAAATATAATTTACCTAGGAAAATTCCAAGAGAATATCCTTCACTTCCAATATCTTCACTTTGGTCATAATAAAGTGGAAAACATACTCCATTTTTTCCATAAAAGTTTCCAAAATAATCCTTGTTTGAAAATGGAATCACAGCTATTACAAATCCCACAATCCAGATGCCAATGAGGATGACAGAGGTCTGCCGTTTTCCAGGACGAATATTACTGAAGGGAAAGACAATGACCAGGAGCTTCTCCAAAGTCAAGTACGTCAGCAGCAGGACAGAGACTTCTGTGGACAGCATGGCCAGGACCCCCATGAGGTGGCATGGGAAACTCTCCATCCATAGCAATGCATACTTCTGGTACTGCCCACGATATTTTATATCAAAAAAGCCAATGAAGAACAAGTAAACACCCATAAGACAGTCTGCACCTGTTAAGGAATGGATATAGGGTATGTAAGTAGTTCCCAGCATTTGTTTTTGTTTTCTGATTAGGCCTACTTCCTTATCCTATATTAAGTGAACTAATATAAACACAGTACTACAGCAGTACTCAGAAGCCATGGGAGTTGAAGAATGAATGCACTGTTTCTAAGTACCACACTGCATCTTAGTTTTATAATGTAAGAAAAAAGGTTTTGGGGGTAATTAGAGGCAGCTTGATTTTAAACAGTAAACAAGTAGTATTTACATACTTAATAAAAAGTATAATTTTCTGGGTTTGAGTAGCATGGATGTTACTATAATTGAGGGTTAAACAAAGTTTAATTTTATAACTCACAACCTGTCCTCCAGAATCCATCCCTTGACTCTTTGGCTTCCTGTTACCCCATTTCCAAGACATCCCCAGGGGTGCGTACTAGATTCCTGAAAACTCATACAATTTACAACAGAGCAATCATAGATAATAGCACCATCATACTTTTAAAAAATTATTTATTTATCTTTAGAGGAGAAGAGAAGGAGAGAGGGAGACAATATCAATCAATGTATGGTTGTCCCTCGAGCATCCCCTGCTGGGAACTGGCCTGCAACCCAGGCATGTGCCCTGACTGGGAATCGAACCATGATCCTCTGGTTCACAGGCCCACACTCAATCCACTGAGCTACACCAGCCAGGGCCCATCATACTTTTTTAAAAAGTTGCCTGACATATATAATTTATATTAAACACCATTGGTTGGAGGCCAGCATATATCTAGTTTATAGCTCACAGAATATATCCTAGATATGTGTAGATAGAAAACATACTTACAACAAAGGATTTTGATGGACATAGCGTGAGTCAAGTTTTCAGCTTTAATGAAAGATCTCATGCCAATGACAAAAAGATTTCCAAAGCAGGTTATGAAAGCTATAACCCAGACACATATTCTGAGGATATTGTTAGCCAAGAGGTCCTCAAATGAAGAAATGCCGTCAGTCAAGGGCATACATATTCGTACATGGGGAGCATAGGAGCAGTATCGAAAGTTTTTGAAATAACTAAAGTCAAAAGGAAAAACAGAGTCACTTTGCAGTAATGACACAGAAACCACAGCTGCAATCCCATCAGGGCTGTAGCTCTCTTAGGCATGCAACTTCACTAGTTCTGCTTGTTTTTGTATAACAAACATTATGTAACTTAAGAGTTCTTCATGAAATATGTTACTCTAGGCAGGGTGCTTCTTTTAAAAATAAACCTGAAGAACATAGAAATGTGTGGCTTGTGTGAAGTGAGTCAGGGGAGGATAGGAGAACGCGAAGTCCCCATCATGTGGAATTGTTCTCTAGGGTGCTGTAAAAAGTACATTGTCTTGGTTAAGTTGATCTTGAGCAAACATTCAGGGGCTTGAATTTGGGATGCAAAGGACCTATGGTAGCTCAATGAAAACATTCCTGTCTTATACATAGTTCTAAGTATACTCACTTAAGCTTGCCTCATTATTCCTGGCAGGAAAAAAGCATTTTTGAGACTAGAAAAACTCAGTCTCACTGAAGCCAGGAGGAAAAGCAGCTGTCTGAAACATAATTTCTTCCCAGAGACCAGAAAAACTTTATTTCTAATTATGACCCAGGTATATGGAATGGTCAAGCATTTGAACGGGGAAGGTTGTCTGGCTTATTGCCATTTTTCAGACCTGTATGTTTAGGATTTCCTCCCATAAGACTCTTTCTGTTTTTGTATTTTTACCACCTCTTTTAGTTCATCTCTTTTCTTCTAATTATTTTTGTTTCCCTCCCCATCCAGTTGGTAGACCAGCAAGTTAAAAAAAAAAAGCTTGACTTTCAAGCCTCACAAGATGAGACCCCTGGCCCCCCAGATCCTGCTTACTTCCTCCACTTCCTGCCTCATTCCACCCAGACACACTGGCCTTCTTCTAATCCTCATACTAGCCAGTTCACCCCTTCCTCAGTATGGTGCTTTTGCTTTCCCCTCTGCTTGGAAGATTCTTCCCTCTTCCCTCTGATACTCAAGGCTTCTCTCTCTCTCCATTAAGGTTTGCTAGAATGTCACATCATTCTGACTTCTCTGTGAACCATCCCTCAATCTCTTCATCTGGCTGTACTTGTTTTTATAGCATTTATTAACTATTTGTTTGTTTACATGTTTGCTTTCTGGTTCTGAAAGTCACATGAAAGCTCCATGGGGCAGACACTTCTCTCTCCTGGTCATCCTGTGCGCTCAGATTTGGAACAGTACCTAGCACATGGCAAGTACTCAGCAAACACTTCTTAGACAAGCAAATGAAGGGTGCATAATTTAGTACTGGGATGTCAAATAGAAAAGTTGGAGGCAATCCCTGCCCTATGCAGCTTACAGTCTAGTTTTCCCATATCATCTACCCAATTAAAGGAACTTGACATATAATTCTCTCGTTTTCCCCTCCTTCCCTGGAGTCCCAGACACACGCTTGACCTCTTGGTTATTTCAGGAATTATGTCCACTGTCTTCTGGTAGAGCCAGCTAGGGTCTCTCAGTGGTTTGGCCTCTCCTCCCACTGTGGCACTGGTTGGCAGGTGGAAAGGTTGGGGTGGTAGAGTGTTTCCGAAAGTGTGAATAGGGAAAATGAAAGAAGAACTCAGCCACTTTCTAGGAACTCAAGTTAACATATTTTCTGTTTGTTGGGTCCTTCTGACCTCAAACTAATGTTCTCTATTGAGTTCTAAAGGGGTTGAATTTCTCTATTCTAACACCTCACTTCTGCCTGTAACAAGGAAATGAGATCCTCCTTCAATATTTATCTACTGGTGCCACAGAAAGAAAAGTTGTGAAAACCACATGAGCATGCATTGATCACTTGTCCTTTAGTAATTACACCTATGTCACAAACACAGAGAAAATGTTTCCCCAAAAGAGCACCTTCACACCAACCATTTCAGCCACTCGCTGCACCCAGCTTGTAAGCTTACTTCGAATTCTCCCTATTGTTGTGGATAACAATGGTTAATTTTTGAAATCATGAATACATAAATTACACAGTTGATAAAGAAATAATCATGTCATAAACACATATATTAACACAACTTACACAGTGCACTTTAGTCAAATATATTCAAGTGACTTATCAAAAACTACTACAAAGATTAATTACCTCCATTCTGAAGTGCACTTAGTAACAGTAACAACACCTGGAATTTATATAAGCACCTTTCTTCCTAAGGGCTCAAATCTTAGAGCAGCCAACTGCTCATTCATGAGAGGTGAATTAATGTTCCCAGGTCTCCTGAGTACCACTGAGCCAATGACTTCATCTCGTGTAATGTGTGGCATTTTGGTACCCTGATCTCTTATTGGGCCTCAATTGGATAAACAGCGTATTTCCAGAGGGACGTGTCATTCATGTCGGCACATCAAATATTGAATTCTATTTGAACAGGGACCAAAGGTGACAAAATTAAAAAGTTCTCAATAAAAAGAGTTTTCTTGCACAAAAACACATTGCAGTGACACATGAGAGTCTGCACTAGAATATCTGTGGCATTCCATCATGCAGTCTTCTCTGTTCTTTTGTACATACATACATGTGAGAAAGATTCCTCATGGGCTGAAACATGTGTGTGTTTATATTTGGAATCTCTATCCTTTCCAGGTCTCTAGAAAACAGGAACAACAGGTTTTATGTTTATAGGGTTTTACTTTTTAGTAATTGAATTCTTTGTCACTTTGTAAATATCACCCTTCAAAACCTTATGTTACCAATTTAAAGTAGGATGAGAATTTTACAGCAAGCTATCTCAGGAAATTGCCACTTCTCTTTCTGCCTCCTGTACATTGGAGCTCTTTTTTCCCTTTCTATGCAGAATTATATTACTAATATAGCACTGTCATTTGTTTCTTTGGTTTAAAACAGCAGTGGTGATTTGTGCAATTATGAACTTGGCTTGATAGTCTGATTTTAGAAACCACAGCATGTGAGTTAGAAGGTTTCTGACAGGAGCTGCTAACCAGAGAGCATCACTAAGTGAGTTTGTGAGAATCTGAATTTTAATACAGTCATTTTTCCTGGCCTATGAGTCTTTATGGGGAAAACCAGGGAAGCAAGAAAAAGAGCCCCAATTCAGGACAACTGTTTTCTAAGACAACCATGGAAAGCATCTTTTTATTCTTCTAGCACCAGAAGCTATACTTGGAGGGCTGCAATGGTAACCCATCTACTCATCACTTATCTACATGCTTCTTCAAATATGGGTTCTTTGGAGACCTCCTTTGGAGACCTAAAGAGGTCTCCAAGGAACCCATTAATTCATTTTTAGGGTAGCATGAATAAATGGAGTATGCCAGTTCTCGGGAACTATGAATGCAGAGAGGGCAATCTAAAATGACAGAAACCTTACTTTTAAAGTTTACTGTGAAAAGGTGTTTGATTCTTACTCCATGTCTTTTTGACTAACCTGAATAAAGATTTCTTGACATGGTCCTGAGTTTCCCTTTGCCTGGTGAGTCCTTCACAGAGAAACCACCTTGCTTTTTGGTTGTCAGAAACAAAGCTCAGAGGGGAGATGCTGCTACTGCGTCCTCACAGGGACCCTCCTAGAGGAAATGCTGGAGTCCTTTTAAAAGGATTTCCCCTCCTTGTTTTTCTTTTGCTCTCTAGCTTTCTCCTGAATTTATTTACAGATTTAGCTTTTCGTAGATTGTGTGATTATTTGACTAATAGCCTATAGTTTCCAAAAGAGTGGAAAGTTTCCATAGACACTATATCCTGAGTGTCTAAGACAGTGGTCAATAAATGTGAAATAAATATGTAAATGAATGTTTAGAAAAAATACATGAGGCAACAGAGAAAGAAATTTAAAAAGAAAAGCTTAGAGTAAACAGTTATGACTTTGACTTTTCAGAAAGGTATAACATGATAACTTAATGTTTTGTCTCTCAGAATTCAGTATGTGGTGAGTGAAGGAAAGAGTCATTTTGTCCACATTTTATCTATTCATATGTTTAAAAACTATGTATTATTTATATTTTTTGGTTTTTAATATTCTAGTTTCTTGAGAGCAACAACTGAGTCCTTTACAACAGTGGATGCTAACTACCAGCTGTTGAGAGAGAACTTACATCTTGCATTTATTTTCAATAGAAAGCTATGTAGCAAGAATAAAAAGTGACATTAAGTCTCAGTCTTTGGAATTAAACAAAGAAAGGCTTTAGGTTGATACTGGGTAGTGGAGTATATCTTCTCTGAAAAAACAAAGGATAACTAGCAGAGCTGTTGACAGCATTTGCAGCCTAATATATTTGGAAGTTTAAACTACTTAACAAAATTAATTGTCTAAATAGTCTTTGTATGATAATATTTTCCTACACTGAGTTGAAAGTAACAAGCATGCTCTGTAGACTGAGAGCAAGTTGATTACTATAGGAAAAGGAAAGGGAAGAATCAGGAAGTCTTCCACAATTTGTTCTTCACCAAAGTTTCAGTAACAAAACAGTTGCAAATTTAATTCTATGTGAAAACTGTAAGATGAGTTTTTCCCATATGAATTAGGTGTGTTTCCAAGTAAATTACATCCACTAAAATAATAATTAACATTCTGTCATATTTTACTTACAGAGACTGAAGTTGTTCAAGGCTTTCAAACTGGTTCTTGTGGAGATACAAGAGAGGGTTGGACGACAGATTCCTTTCGTACCATTGGCAAGAAGAAGGAAAGGAGCATCAGGATATTATTACTTTGGAAGCTTAAGATGTTGGCATTTAAATCTGATGACAGTAGTAAAAAGAACTTACAGTTTTTGTAGAAGTTTCAGGTTTTTAAAAATGTGGGCTGGTAGCTCCTTTATCAGATTGCTAGACAGGTCCCTGTTGGTGACAGTGAAAATCCAAAGCAATTACATTGGAAATAAATGACATGGTGATTTCTCCTCACAAGTTTCATTATACATTTGACATAATAGAAAATATGATTCAACTTAACCAACCAGATAACTTGTTATACAACCAAGCCATGTGAGTTGGCCAAAGGGATATGTTTTCCATCACTTTCAGAAATAGGACATTTTGTTCTTGCAGTTCCTGTCTGTAATTTCCTCTCAGCCCCTTTCCAACACATTCCCAATTTGGTTTCAATATCTACTTTCATTAATTTCCTCTGTCTTAGGTACTCTTTGTACAGTTGGACCTTTCACTGTTTTGTGATCCTATTGGTTCATATATGTGATATCTTTTTTATTTAAGTATATTATAAGATTTCTGTGACCAAGACCTATGCCTTCTATTCATTTTCATTCCAACTAAGATAGCATTGTTGTGTACACTATCTCTGTCCAGGTAACCTTGAACAGGTAAGTTCATGTATGTTCCATCTATTTTATAAGCTACTTTTTAAAAATAAAAAATTGAGAATTCAGAACCAAATGTCACAGGGCTATCTGAGTCAGAAAGATCATAGGGAAGTGTTTCTGCAGAATGAGGAAAAGAGATTTGTTAGGATCAGCAGGAATCAAGAATCTTTAAGAATCCAAATTACCCTTCTGAGCCAGATGTGAAAATGCCTAAGAATCACACAAAAGATCTCATTTATGCTTTGGAGCTGCTGATGGATATGTGGGAGCTATAAATACCTAAGATTTAGCTTTTTCTCTAAAAATCTTATAACTTTCCCTGGCTGGGTAGCTCAGCTGGTTAGAGTATTGTCTCAATACACCACACTGATGTCGCAGGTTTGATCCTGGGCCAGGGCACGTACAAGAATCAGCCAATGAATACATTAAAAAGTGGAATAACAAACTGGCTTTTTTTCTCCCTCTCTCTTTCTTTCTCCCTCCCTCTCTCTAAAAATCAATCAATAAATAATTTAAAGAAACTTAAGATTAGAGCAAACAGCTCGATTATAAAGCAAGGTAAGAATGAAACAAGTGGTATTACAGAAGTCCAGGTATGAAGCAGAGGAAAGAGTCCTCAAACTTGGCCTGGGAAATTGGGAAGTGTCTGAACAAAGCTGGAGGATTTTCATAGGTGGGGCAAAAGGAGAGCAGCTTTTCAGTGCAGGGTTACCTTAAAAAGGATCAGAAAAACAGATGCTCAGGAGTCAACTCACCTGGAGTCAGCAAGTGGTCTAATGTGAGTGGAGGATAGAAAGTATGGGATGGAGATGATGGGGCCTGGGAGAGTACATGGAGACAAAATGGGAGGTCCATGAGTACTTTCTTAGGCAGTATTTCCAAGAGTAGAGCCCAGGGATCAGAATCAAGGAGGATGCTCATAAAAAGAGCATATTCCTGGTGTTGGTCTGGAACTATCATATTGGAAGTTCATGGTGGAGGGTTGGGGTAAGGGAGCCATGCATTTAAAATCAAAGCTGTGATTTTTTTTGACATTAACATTTGAGAACTATGTGAAGGACTTTGCTAAGAAGCATGCAACAGGGGAGTATTAAGCAGGAGAGTGGCATAATATGCTGTGGGTTATGGGATGATGTAAATCAATTAGAATCATGAAAGATAGGCTGAGGAGCTGGAGTCAGAGGAGGCTACTGGCAGGATGCTTTAATCCTGGAATAGCTGATGAGGGTTCAAGGTAAGGTACTGACAGGGCTTATGGTCTGGTAGGACAGGAAGTTTAAAGAGAGAAGAAAAAAGACCTGTCTTGGAGCCCAGCTGTGACAAAGGGTGCTGACACCAGTAAGATGAAGAGTCTAGGGGAAGAAGCTGGCAGTGGGGTAAGGGTTGTTTGTAAATTGTTTTTTAATCCTCACTTGAGGCTATGTTTTTTATTGATTTGAGAGAGAGAGAGAGACATACACAGAGAGAAACATTGATATGAAATGAAAACATCAATCAGTTACCTCCTGTATGTACCTGACCAGAAATCAAACAAGCAATATTTTGGTGTATGGGATGATGCTTCAACCAATTGAGCAATCTAGTCAGGGGTACAAATTTGGTTTTAATAGATTGCTCTTTTGGGGCCGTTATGATGTCCAAGTGTAGTGGTCCTGCCAGCTGGGAAATCTGATCTGGTGCTCCAAATGGGAGGAGCATACCTGGGTCATGGCACAGAAGGAAAAGCCTCTGGTGAGCACAGGTGAGAGAGCCTGACAACAAAGCAAGGTGACAACGATCTTGTACATCTAGAAAGTGTTATCAACGTTACTCTGAAAAAGGAAGAACAGTCTTATGTGGGGAAAGAACTTCAGTGGCCTCAAGGAAGTGGATTTATTCCTCCCCAGGAGGGGGTTGGTGTAGTGAAGGCACAGTAAAATTATTTAACATTTTTATAAACTCAGGAAATGTAAGTGCCTTTTTCAAGTTAGTTTCATTAACTTCTGAATTTCTTTTGTCATGCTATGTGTATTAAAACATGATTATTGATGGTCTTAAAGAAGCAAGTTAGTGTCTCTTAATTGGGCTATTTTACTCGAGGGGGTGCCAGGTAGCTCTGCCAAAGTATAGAATAAGAGGAAGATTAGGAAATTTTTCAGATTGTGGATTTTCATATCACTGTTTTCTGAAGTTTGTACATAAACCCACTCCTGTTTGCCCTGCCCTTAGCTGTTCTTCCTCTCTCCCAGACCCCATATCTACCCCTCAAGTTCTGACTAGGAACACTTGTGAGAAATGAGTGAGCTCTTTTGAGTGAATTGCCTTTAATTTTTGTAATAAAATGATATTTTTAATTCTAATGCAGTACCTTGCACACACTGAGCCCTTAATAAATATTTATGGATTTGATACTCATGAATTAGATTGAAATATCTAAATTATTCATGATTTTTCAAATGACTCTTACTATTTTCCCCACTCTTTTTTGGATATCAAAAGAAGGCATAATGAATGAAGGAAATGTTAATTAAGAAATTAATTTCTGTTTTTAGACCTCAGATCAGAGGGAGGAGCTTTCTACCCTAATTGTCACTATTTATAACACAATTTTAACTTCCAACAATACACAATTATGTGGGTGATAATGAATTAATAGCAAGAAAGATGTTTCTTCAAAGGCTTAGGTATACAAAACTCATGTTTGAACAGAACAAGTCCCATGAAATCTCTGAATTCTTTTAATGAGCTTAAGCCTCATTCTTTAGTATTTGCTTCATCTGTTGTAGAAGTCATAATTTCTCAAGAAACAACACACATCTTGGTTCCTTTGTTTAGTTGGAATTTGTTAATACCACTTCAGTTAGTCAGTTAATTAATTCAGCAAGCATTTATTGAGAATTAACTATACTTTAGCCATTAGAGATAAGGGTTCCCGGCTTCAAGAACTTATGAAAATTCACTCATTCCCAAGCACACACATACACAAAATAACCCAAAGAAAACAGGCAGGGAAATTAGAGTAGGCTAAATCCATATTAGGCTCACCATCTAATTTTAATTTGCTCTTGACTTTAAGATGTTTGTTTTTTAATGGATTTTGAGTATCCAGCAGTCTACAGGATTTTGATTGCTATGAGTGGAGAAGCAGTCTCACTAGTCTGTTAAATTATCTTGGAAGAAGCAATCATATTTTCCTAGTAGACCATGCTACTTACAGTTCTCCTAAATTTTTTAATGAAGAAAATGTCTTCTCTGGAACAAAATCAATTTGATTTCTAGGCAGAAACCTGTAAGACATGGTGAGAGTCAGCACTGCTCGTTAGTGTCTGCTGCAGTAACCACTTCTCATGAGGACAGGCCATTGATCTGGGTGGACTTCCCTCAGCCTCCTTTGAAGTCTCAAAGTGAGGTGGCCTCTGGAAATAAGGCTGCAGTTTTGCATTGAGCTGTCCACAAGCCCTCTCTAGGGAATGCTGTCACAAATTGTTTGAGGTGCTGAGTGAGGCCTATAAAGCTGCACTTTGTTTGGATCTCATTATTTCAGAAAGTGTTTTTACCCCCAAATACACACAAGTAATGTCAGATTTGTACCCTGTTAATAATTCTCCAGAAGGCATTTAGAGGACTCTTGTTTAAGGCATGTTCCTTAGAAAAAGTCCAGAAAGAGCAAAACTTGAACCAACCTCGTAGCAGTTTCTGGGGTCAGAAACAAATTTTAAATTTGGTGAGATCACAGCGGTTTTACATTCTCCTTGCTTATGAGCTTAATCCCCTAAGAGAAATGGCAGAAAGTGAGGGTCAGCCACCACTTGCCTTACAGAGGTGCTGAAGGAGAGATAATGAGTATCAAAGTGATGTTAATACTGCATGGATGTATAAAAGAGAAGTTGTTGATGTACTTTATATAGTTTTCCAGTGTACTCTCTCATCATCCGTGAGAAAAGGAATAAATTCTCTGCATTTCCTGAGGGGGATAGCCTCTTTCTTCATTAAACATGCTTAGCTGCAATCCGATTGATAAATGTGCAACCTGGCAAACAGTCTTAGCTCTTAGTTTGTTGGAGAACAGTGGTTAGAGTACTACAAATGGATAGACTCCAACTTTTCTTCTCCAACCGCCCACCCATCTAACCAACCAACATTATAGAGTATATTAGGTAAACATTATATACTCTATATAACTAACTATGATTAAAACAAAAACAAAGTGCATGTGACTTTAAACTTTCCAGTACAAATGTGCCAATTAACCAACCCATCTGCCTTCTTGCACCCATGAAAAGCATAGTCAACAATTAGAATCACCAATCAGAATGTTTGACTCATCAGAACACTTTAAATGTTTTTTCCCTTAGAATTAAAAAAAAAAACTTAGAGAGAAACATCATGCAACAAGTGTCATTGGCAGTAACAATCACTGGGTAGCTAACCACTTTCACATACATTATCTCATTTTCAAGACCATGGATTTAAGTACCAGTTTAGAAGAAAGAATGCAGAGAAACAGTGACTGTCCTCAGAAATAAGGAGAGCACCCAAAGACCTACATGATGGTAGCTAAATGTAAAGTCTTGGACTCCTGTGAAAATCAATCAAGTCACGTGTGCATTTTCAAATACAGCAGTTTCAGACCAAGGCTGTAAGATCCTACTTTAAATTCCTCATCAATATTTTCTTTTGATTTCTAAATCTATTGGGTATCAGCTCTTTTACAGAAGTCCATTGCTTACTTACAGCACGGTGAGTGCATCGCATGACAGAAAGGTGGAATTTGTAAGATACTTTATCCTGTTGCCTTCCAAATCCCTAAAAGGTATGGAGGAAAAATATTTTTAATATTTTTACATAAATTGTATACCTAGAGGTACTTTTTGTTGATATAACCGTTCTGAATTTATTTTTACTTAATTTCAATTTTTATTCTTCCACTTAATTATTGCAGGGTTAGTATAATGCATATTATGCTTATTTTCTCCTTTTAACTGATGTTAGAACTTATTGAAGTCAAGAAAAAGAGCAGCCCAACATTTCAGTGAATATCTGTTTATGCTGGATACCATGCTATTGACTATCCTCATATTGTCCCTATAATAGCAGTAACTACCATTTATTGGGCTTTCACACTGTCAGGTACTACTTCAAAGACTTAAGTTAGTACTATCACTGCCAATCCCCTCCACTCCAATTTTATATGTGAGGAATGTGAGGTTCTTGGAAATTCACTTTCCTTTTGCTCACACAGCTGCTAAATGGTAGAAGTGCCCTTATACGCCAGATCTGTCTGACTGTAAAGCCTAGACACTTAACTATGGTGTAAGAGGTTGTTACATCTTATGTCTGCCAATATTGTTCTTATTTTGCTGAAGGAGAAACTCAGGCCAAAGTCATCTTTCAAATCCTGAATGCCAGAGTCAGGATGTATGTCCTAATCTTCTGGATGGAGAATGACCACTCTTTCTACCATTCCTTAGAGAGCCATCTATGCCATAAAAGCCTTTTGATAGCAGGCCAGTTCAGGGAGAATCAATAGCTTAGGCACTAAACTGTATCATCTTATGGGCATTGAGTCCCCTTATTTCACATGAGAGGAGATCTGGGGAACTTTCTCAGTGCAGAGAAGGCTGCCTGTGACCACACTGCCTATCTCAGGAGACCATGAGGATAAACATGACAGAGAATGGTGTGAAGAGGTGGTGAAACCATGGGGAATTTTAATGAATGTTTAATCAAGCATTGGTTGAAAACTAACAAAGAATGAAAATGATGTGGCACTTTTACTATGGTATGTTGAGCATCTCTTATGTGCCAATCATAGTACTATTGCTGGGGTATAAGATCATAGGTGGGTTTCTGCCCCCATGGAAGTTCTGATGGGGGACATGCAGTAATCCAGAGGCACAATGACACTAGTACTGTGAGGTAGATGTGCAGGGTAAAAACTGGTGGCACAGTGGAAGTCTATTCTTAGTGTAAGGGAGCACAGAGGCAGCCACTGAAATTGGTTGGTGTGTCAGAATTGGCTTCCTGGAGGTGATGATTAAGAGAACTTTTGAAGGAAGCTGGAGTTAGGCAAAAGAATAAAGGAGCAAGACTTTCAAGATAAAGAAGCAGTGCGTGCTGCAGGCAGGGACTGCTGGTGCATCTGGAAGGAAGGCATGTGAGGGGAAAGGCAGGGAAAGAGACCAGATGGGGTGAAGGATAGAAAAAATGGGTCCCAGTGCTCAAGAGGAAGTTTGAACTTTACCCTCACACCCTTTGGGATTCTCAAGATTTTTAAACCAGAAGTAACAGAATCAGATTTTAGTTTTGGGAAGAAGAGTACAGATAGACTTGTTATATAATGGTGAATTAACTTCTGAGATAGTTTTTTTAAATTTATTTATTTATTTACTTTTAGAGAGAGAGGAAGGGAGGGAGAAAGAGAGGGAGAGAAACATCCATGTGTGGTTGCCTCTTATGTGGCCCCCACTGGGGACCTGGCCTGCAACCTAGGCATGTACCCTGACTGGGAATCGAACTGGTGACACTTTGGTTCACAGCCTGCACTCAATCCACTGAGCTACGCCAGCCAGGGCTTAAGATAGTTTTTTTTAATCTGTGAAAATAACAAATTAGTGTCTACATGCATACTCACACCCAGTTGAGTTGAGGCATTTGGGCACACATCTGCTTGGGAAGGGCTTCTAAATAGTTATTGACCATAGACCTGTATACAAAGAAGATATTAATTAATATCAAATACCTGGAGCTAGTATAAACAATATAGGATTGTATACTAACCTTACTTCAATTAAAAAATAAAAGTTTAAATATGAAAAAAATAGTGTGGCACATTAAGGACAGTTTTTACCTATTTCTACAATGTGGAAACTTGCATGCTAAAATTGATATATTAGGATAAAGGCTATAAACATAATTTCCTCTTCAAAATGGTGTCCAGATATTTTTGTGGCACAATAAAGCAACAGATGTCAAAGAAACTATGAATGTATCTGTGCAACATATAACCCAGGAATAAATAGTATACAGTTTAATTTTATGAGATGAAACAAAATATATATTAGGCGATACGTTTGAAGTTCATGATAACTGTTCTTGTAAACTCCAAAGTTGCAATCACTTCTAGTATTATACATCTGCAGTTTCTTCTTAAGGGAAATATTAATCATTTACAATATTAAAGGGGCACACTGGAACTGGCATTAAATCTAAGTGATATAGGGGTCATTTAGGCAAAGGAAACAACTCATGAGCATGTTAAGCTGCACAATTAATTTGTGATATTGTAGTCCCTTCTGACAAATGGAAAAATAATGATGGTATATGATTAACTGCAAAAGGACATAAAAGGCTCCTGCTGATAGATAATTCTAGTTTATTAATAAACAGCAACAGTGTAATTATGAGAATTGCCCTGCTGGTAAGACAAAGATTTTGGCATTTCCAGTGACTGTTGCTGGCCAAAGGCACATTTTCCTCTGTTAAAAATGTAGTTGGAGGCTAAACTCCTGGGAGATTCTACTCAGTTTAAATTAAGTTAGGAGATAAAAATAAATACTATCTTTGGCCAACCACTGCAAATATAAACATGCCTTAGGACTAAAGGAAATGAAAGGAGATCCAAAAGCAATCAATTGGTAGACTAAAATATAGCCTGAGCCCTGTCCAGGAAGTGGCAACAGTAATTGTGACTGGAAATACAGGACAGGTTTCAACTAATAAAAATTGTGGTGGGCTTGATTTTTCTAAAGTTCTTTTTGTAAGCTGGTGTTGGATGTCATTGCAATGTGTAGACAGGTGAATTGAAAGGGAGGTAAATACTTACAGGAAAAACAAGGAATTTAATCCGGTGAATAGCTGCTGTGAAATTCTGGTTATTGGATTGTCATCTAGAATTCTGAAAAAATAGATCACAAACATTTCCAATGTCAGAGATATTTTTGAAGTAAAATCAGAAAAAAACAAAAGGCCTGTGACAATCCTGTGTCTGCCCAACACCTGCTGTCCCCCTTCCTATTCTTTCACACTGGTGCTCACTCTCCTTCCTGAGAGCCTTCCCTTCATTCTGTGGGCAGAGCAGCTTTCCCCCCCAAATGCCCATGCCAGCACTGAGCAAGTCCATCCTGATGGACTTATGGACCCAAGTTTTACCCTTCACCTCTGGTCCTGTCTGTCTCATGCAAGCTACACTTACTTAATGGCTAAACTTGGAATTCCTAAATGTTTTGACCCACTACTTGACTGAATAAAGAATTAATTCAAATTCTTAGGATATTACAAATGGTTCTGCAGTTTCACAGTGTTTAAATGATATATTTAGTAATGTTTATACAAACAAACTCATTAGGAGCTGAGAAAGCGAAACAGTGAAAATATTTATATATTTAAATCACTGCTTTTAAGCGTATATGGCATTTCCTAGAAAAAATAGACTAATATGCCTTCTTTTCTCTTGTTATATTTGAAGCCAAGTATTCCCTCCTCTCATTTTAAGCGGTCCCCAAGGATCTGGAGAAGAAAGCAACATCAAGGGCCTACTATGTGCTGGATGTGATTCATGTGGTGCTTTACATGTATCATGTGAGCCAGTCCTCACAACATTACTTTTAGAAAGGAATTATTATTTCAGTTTAAAAGTGAGGAAAAGAGACCTAAGAAGATTAAGAAAATCACCTGCAACATTAAGCCTGGCACTGCAGCATATACGAGGGTCTAGATGAAGGAGGCCCTGACCTTTTCCATTAGACCAAGTCAATCTATGGAAAATGGACAAATGGACAGAAAGCACCTTCTACCTGCCCTTTGTTCATTTTTTGGATGAAAACATGGACATCTGATGTGAGATCTTTTGGGATGAGGCTGGTGGCTTAGCCTTGAACATGGTGACACACCACTGGCCATATATTCAGATTTCTCTATGAATGCTCTGGAAATCCAAAAAGTCCTTAACTTGCTTACTTTGTAGGTCAGTGGTTTGCTGCAGAGGGTGACTTCTCCAGAAGACATTTGGGAGTGTCTGAACACGTTTGGTTGTCACACTCTGGGGGTGAGTACTACTGGCATCTATTGAGGTAGAGGCCATAGAGGCTGCTAAACATCCCACAATACAGAAAACACCCCCTTCCTCCAATAAAAGAATTATATGGAGCCAAATGTCAATAAAGCTGAGGTGAGAGATGTGGCCACAGGTAAACACTAGGTGGACAGAAGGCTTGGCAAGCCCAGCTCTGGGCTCAGAACGCCATCTGGAGGAGCATGGCACCAGTTTTCTTTTATACAGCTGTCACTTGTTGTATCATTATCTGAATTGCTTGAGTAAAGCGTTACAGATTACATGATAACAAGAAAAATAAGAATAGTAAACAAGATACATCAATAGATGGATACTGTGAATACTGGTGTATTCATCATTAAGACTGGGGTCCTTTCTGGGGCAGGAAAAGCTGGATACTTACAGCCAAGTTAGCTGATGCAGGTCCTTGAATACTCCAGGTCTGAGGGCTGTAATGCAGTTGTGGCTGAGATATCTACAAAGAGCACAAGTGAGTGAACTAGGCAAACTCAAGATTGATGATGACCATGGAGTGGGGGGCACCTGTTTCTAAAAGCATTTTACTGAGGGAGGATGCTGAGCAGAGGGGGCCAAGTGACAAACAGGAGACACAAGGCTGTGGCCAGGACCAGGAGAGTGGCCAAATATAGTGTGCTGGGATATTACGTTACAGAAATGGAGTAGAATAAATATGAGGGGTGATTTTTTTTGTCCTTTTTGGTCACATCCTTAGTAGACTAGCATTTTTAGGCAGTATATAGGTAGGTTGGCAAGGGTTAGAAAAAAATGCTAAAAGATTGTGGAAATGACCCAAACTTGAGTAGACAAGGTTAAGGAGAGCCTCTATATCTGTCTTCTGGTAAAGGTGAAATCTTTGAATAATTCTCTCAGTGTAGTCACTAAGCACTTTGTAATAACTTGGTCCTCTCATTTCTCTACAACTAAGTCAAGTCAAATCTTTCAAAAGTACCATCATACCTTTTAATCCTTACTTAAAATTATACTCATAATATAATTATAAAGAAGTTACTCACAATATTTGCAGATTATGTAATCCAAAAAATGCTTTCCTGGATATGTGTCTAATGCAGTTATGCTGAAGAAATCTGGTGGGACCAAGATCAAGAATCACATGATTATGGCTTATGTGCTTTATCAGGTTGTTGAATGTTTGATCTACTTTCTTTCCCTAAAGACACTCCTGAACTTGGCTTGTGAAGTCCCAAGTCCCACTCTCATATGGGGAAGTGAAGATGTTGCCAAGGACATATGGCTATGAACTAGACAATGCCTGCTGTCCCTGTAGCACCTGTCAGTGAGTCTGGGGCATGTCTGGGTTGTACCACTGGACTCTGAGAGGGCAGAGGGAACCAGTTCTGTTTCTACACACTGGCACCATGGTAGCTTTTCTGCTCTGACTTGCAGGAGTGCTCACCGTGGGAGACCAGCCAATCTCTCATGGCCAAGTTCCATCTCAAGCTACTCATTTCTCTTTGTTCTATTTCCACCAAAAAGGAGTGGGAAAGTTTCATTCTTTTCCATGTTGATATGCGCAGTTAGAAGAACAGGGTAAGCTGTGCAAGGTGCTTAAGGTCCTAAAAGACACCAGTGATTAAGTTGGGTCTAGTTCACCAACTTCAGCTCATGGGTCATGATTTACTCAGCCTCTGAAGCAATTTAACAATCTAGTATTGATTCAATAAGAGCACTGTCAGGAGTAGCTAAGTAAATGATTTCCACTTCCTGTGCTCATCATACAATGAGAGGTTAGCCCTGAATTCATACTTACTGAAGGCCATCAAAGGCAAGAACTATCCACACAGAAAACAGTACCTAATGACTACAGAGTCTATTAAATGGCTTACCTAACTCTCACTTAGATTTGATTTGGTTCTCAAAATATTATACAATACTTTCTTAATTGTTATGATACTTCACTGCAAAACTATTCATAGAACATATACTTGTCGGGCACCTGGCTATACTCTGAAATTACTTATAGTACAATTACTACCTAGCAAAGCCCATGAATTAGGAATGTGCTACAGGTGCATGAGGATATTGATGCCCTTAGCCCTCTGGGTAACTAGGTAATGTCAACATCAGCTTCCAGTTATCAGTAAAACCCAACTTTTACCCTAAATGTTGAATAAATAATGTCACTTTCTCTGCATACCACTATGTGGAAAAAGTTGGCACTACATAGAATGTGCTTTACATCCATGGTGATACACAAAGCATCAATTTTAATCCTGCAAAGTAAACCTGAAACCCAGTGAGGCCAGTGTAATTCCACCTCCCCACTCTGCCTGCACCACATCTGGAAGGAGATGCTTCACATCGCAACATAAATTCTGCTTTTGGTTTGATGTTCATCTGTGAATATAATGAGGCCATAAAGATCAATATTTGGTGTAGCATCTTTTGAGCCCTTGAAGCGATACAATGAATTATGTTACAATAGCAAACAAAACTAGAAAAAATTATAATACTATAGTATGGGTATGTTGAAGTTCCTCCTAAATACAAAATTCACTGCCTAATTAGTGCTATTTACATTTCATTCAAGATAATTATCTCAAGAGGACAGTGCACAGTTTACCCACGTGTCAATGGTCTTAAAGAGATGGGAGTACTAATGAATTGTGAATTCAACCTTGTGCTTCTGAGCAACATGACTCACCTGATGTGTAGAGCCTAATTGCCTTTCCTACCACAAGTTAGGACTCCAGCTCCTTGAATAATAAAGATCTTATAGTCTATTTGGTCAGGTTACTGGCACCACAGAGAGAATTGGAGCCCCAAGTCCCCTGTTTTAGACCCAGGTGCTGAATTTTAACTTGATTCTCTAGTATGTATTTTCCTCTTTGAAGAATACCCACCTGGCGAATCTGAAGGGAAATTTGGAAACATGACAAATTGGCAAGTGGTGTTCTCTTTTTATTCAGAGTGAAGATGGGAGTCCATTTTATATACTTTATATTGAATAGCTCTTCTAAGAATAACTTGCTGGTTCATAAATTCCTGCTGTTTCAGCTGTCAGGAGTTTCAAAGCAGAAACACCAGGAATTCATGTACCTGAAACTGAAGCAAATATATGCTTTAATGACATGTATATTTATAGGCTATTTCTTAAATGCAACATGATGTACTCATAAGCCAGGCAACTCATTGAATTATAGTTCGTGGCCAATGATTGCCTTGAACAAGAACCCAGTTTAAGAAGGAATTCCTAAATTCTATAAGGTTTATGTTACAATGAGGAAGGGAATGGCTGGTAGTTTCCATGGTAGCAGTGAGAAAATATTACAGTCAGTCTCTTAAGTTATACCTTATTTTTCTGAAATGTCATCTTCAATTGCTTCCTCCAGAAGTTAGAAAGACTTGATATTTTTAAAGATTATTAAAATGAATAATCAATAAAAACATTCAGATAAGTTGAGCAACACATATTTATCTGGCAGTTAAAATTTGTTTTGAGCTAGGAATTTATCCTTCTGAATGCCTAAGTAATTGCAGCTTCTCTGTGAATATTCAGAGCATTTCAGACCAGATAGACTCCATGTTAAATTTGGTATCTTTTAGGATATACTCCAAAACAATTTAAGAATGTGTATTACTTTATTATCTCAAGACCATCTAAAATATAAATTTATTCATGTCTTTTCCCTGGTCAGACAGAATAAAACTGAGATTCTTTAACCTGGCATTCAGAGGCCCTACAGTCATGATTCAATGACTTCTCCAGCATGTGCACCTCATTGCCTGTGGACTCCCTTTTTCTTTAGACAAATTGCCTTCCTCACTCTTCCTAATATCCTTCAATTGTGCTATTTTGTTCTCCTTGCTGAATATGCTCCTCATCTTCTCTTTATGTCTGCATGTTAGTCTTATACATCATTCCCCCAACAAATATTCATTGACCTTCATGTATGTTTTGGCATGCATAACAATGAGGGGTAGTGGTGAAGAAGCAGGACCATCCAACTTGGAGGAGGGTATGCTGGTCAGTAAGGGGTTTTCTTCAAAATTCAAGGATGAATGTGAAGGGTCCACAGAAAAAGAATCAAAGTTGGAAAATGATCTAAGTCTCATTCAAAACTCTGAAGAATACTGTGGGCAATGTATATGTATTTCTAGTTGTATTTTAGAAGTAAGAACATGTCTAAGCCTGTTATATAAGATCTGTTTTATACTATTATGAAATATATAAAAGTATAAATTCTCAGCTCCTACATAGTTGCTGTCTTCTTAATCAACAAAGATGATCTTAGACTAAAGGAAATAGAAAGGATATAGGACAGGAGACATGAAAGCCCAAGATGGTAGAATATGGTATTCAAAATCAGTTCAAGTCGCCCTGGCTGGTGTGGCTCAGTTGATTGGAGCATTGTCCAGTAGCCAAAAGGCTGCAGGTTCGATTCCCAGTCAGGGCACATACTTAGGTTGCAGATTTTATCCCTGGTTTGGGCCAGTCACATTCTACCCCTGATTTGGAGCCATATGATCTCTGGTCTGGGTACATATGGAAGGCAACCAATTGATGCTTCTCTCTCATGCGGATGTTTCTCTCTCTCTCTCTAAAAGTAGTGAACAAATAAATGTCCTCAGGTGAGTTCAATTCCTCTGGTTTGAAAGATTTCTCCTTGAAATCGGAAAACACTGAAATGAGAACACCAAGTCATGATCAATTACTGAGGAACCTGTACAAAGGAAGAGCAGTTGGAAAATTAAAGAGGTAAATGCAGTTTTGATTTTCCAGAAAGGGAAGAAGGAGATTTCATAAGTTACAGTTGGATGGATTTAAAATTGTTTCTGGGTGAGGTGGAAGAATAGGTTGTCACAATGCTGCTTTGTAAGTGCCTCAGAGAGAAAGAGAATAGGGTGGTTCATAAGAAACAGGACAGGCACACCAACTTGATTCTCTTTGAATCAAGAAAATGTGTGCAGTCACACAACCAGTCAATCAAAAAAAAGGGTGCTATCCTGGAGACCCTCTACCTCCAGTTCTCAGCTCTCCTGCTTGTCACACTGTTCTCTGTTTAAAGCTTGACTTCTGACACTAGTACACAAGGCCAGAATTTTAGAATGGTTTGCTCACACCATGGTCTGCAAAAGCTGTGGGTGACACTGTGACTTCCTTAAAGGAAGACTCTGGAACTTACTGCCTGAACTCTGATCACATCTGTTCTTGGTCTTCAATTCTCATTTCCAGGCCTATACTCAGGAGATCATAAACAAGCTGTAGAAGCTGCTGAGAAGAAACTCGATCGCAAATTGTGGTGGCGAACGGGCAGCTTGACAGTTTGCATCTGTTTTCTAGAGGCTACAGTGGGAACAATGATAAGATCTGCACACCCTGGGACAGAGGGTTCACTCCAACCCCCTTTGTAACTCATCTCCTTCCCAGGAGCAGAATCAGTCTCAGAGCCTCTCAAGACAGAAGTGGCCCACCTGGGCTCCAGTCTCTGGGGATGAGGATGTGGGAGGAAGGAACTGGGGAGAAATCACTCTGGGAAAGGCACAGTGACCTGGATTCCAGGTGAGCCAAGCAACATGTTCCCAACATGTATAGGAACAGCCTGAGGCAGACTTGTGATCACCTTGGCTGGCAGATGGTCACCTTCTCTCTGTGTCCTCACAAGGTCTTCCTTCTGTACCTGTGTGTGTGGGGGGCCTAGTATCCTCTTCTTATAAGGACACCAGTCATATGGGATTAGGGTCCACACTAAAAACTTCATTTTAACTTGATCACCTCTTTAAGTGCCTTATCTCCAAATACAGTTAAATGCTGAGCTGCTGATGATTAGGACTTCAACACAGAAATTTGGTAAGGTATAGGAAGGCACCCTTCAGTTCATAACAAACCATGTTTTTCATTCTTATTATAGAATTTACTACCCAGTTAATTTAGAAATAGCCTAATTTCATTTAGGAATTAGGTTCCAAGAGGATGAATAGTCTAAATTTCTTTATTTAAATGGATGTGTTCTTAATAGAACATCCATTAAGATGTCTTAATTAGGATATTTTCACTAATAGGAGTGTTCTTAGTCTCTATCCAAAGTAACTTACCAAATATTTTAGAATGCACAACTTGGGAAGCTAATGTAGCCAGTCATTTAAGGTTATTTGGTGAGCAGGGAATCCAAGCAAAAGCCATTTCCATTCTGCTATAGATGGCATCACAAGATAGTTCACAAAAGTTGAGGAGGAGAGGGACAATCTATCCCTCTTTCAATACAGATGACCTCAGGAATCACATTTCCCAGACCCTGCTTTTCTTTCTTGAACAATGCTGAAAGCATCTTGGCACTTTTCTTGTCACTGACCAGCATTTTTTTAAAGACTTTATTTATTTATCTTTGAGAGAGGAAGGGAAGGAGAGGAGGAGAGAAACATCAATGTGTGGTTGCTTTTCGTGCATCCCCTGCCGGGAACTGACCTGCAGGGAACTGGCCTGCAACCCAGGCATGTGCTCTGACTGGGAATCAAACCGCGATCGTGTGGTTCGCAGGCCCGCACTCAATCCACTGAACTATGCCAGCCAGGGCTGGCTAGCATTTCTTCACTGTTGACTGTGCCCCATTTATTCACATTTTTTTCCTTGGATAAGTTAACATCCCTACTTTCACTAAGATTACATTTGCTCCTGTCATCCTGGGAGACAGTTTGTATCCTATCGCCCTGTGTTTTAAGTGATCTGATGTTTCTTGTCAGCGTTTTTGTGCTAACACTCTTCTTTCAAGTTAGAAGGTGCATTTGGTGACTCTGTTCTGCAGTGTCATTTTCCAAATGATGGGACTAAAGCAGAGAACCATGTATTTTTGATTGACTTGCTTCATCTGAACTCCAGTTTAAATCCAAAGATGTTTAAATAAAATCAGTTCCCTTTGAATTATGAAACGAGAATTTATAATGCTTTATTTTAAAATATTAATTATATTTAGATAAGAAAGAAGTTTAATGAAAAGTTAATCAACTTTGTATTTCATTTTACTTTTAGATCAAAAACATCTCAAACAAAACCCAAGGATTTTCCCATTGAAACACTCTTAATAGCTACTTACATCTTTTTAAGTTCTGGGTATTTGATGAAAACTTTTTCTGGAAGACTGTGAATTTTGTTTCTTTTAAGAGACCTAGAATAACATGTAAAGCAGATTTTGTTAAGGATTTTATGACAAACCAAACTCTTCTCTGGAAGCTGTGTGCTTGAGAAGAGACTTTCTCGATGATCATCCATTCCACTTCACACATTTGAAAAGGACTGTGGTAACTGAAGATTTTCTCACGTGATAAAAAATGTCTGTAGTGAAAAATTTAAAAAGTTTGCAAGTATTTGACTGGTTTGGCCAGTTAGTAGGCTGAGACTTCTACAGTGATCTCATTTTGTCTCTTACTTGCTGCATAATTTAACAAAACACAACAAAAAAGACTGAATAACAACAAAAATCCCAACCAGCTCATGCATGCCCAAATTGTGATATGAAAGCCAATTCTGAAGATTCTCAAAACATTATGCAAAGTACACAAACACATGCATGGTTACAACCCAACTAGGTTCCTGGATCTCTTATACCTTCCTCTTCTTGAACAAATAAGTTATTTTAAAAAGAAGGTATAATAACTGAGTGTTCCTTTTTTCTTAATTTTGATTTTTAATTGTATATATAGTACTGGCATATTAGCAACAATACATAAATCATGAAGTAAGTGAAAATATGAATTTTAGATCACAGATGTTTTTGAGCTAATGGATAACCTGGCTAATGCAACAATATTTAAGACATTATTTTCCTGGAGTAGAAACATGCAGAATTCTCTGATGGCTGGTGGTTTTAAAGGGAATTTCTGTTATTTTTTTTAATATACAAGTAGCATAAAATAGAATGAAGAGAGGTTAGATCAGGTTACACACTTTTCCTGTGACTTTAGGGGCAAAGATCACTAAGATGTGAATTCTACTCACAGTAGTGTCACATTGCTGGAAATGTTAGGCACAGACTTTACGCCAGTGTTTACACACTCCAGTTCTGTCCATCTGCAGTCACAGTATGGTGGGTACTGGTTTAGAACTAGGGGGCCAAGAGAGCAAGATTTCACTAGGCAAAAAATACTTTAATGATGACTTTATCTCTAATAACTGACATTGTTCTCTTTTCTTTGAATGTATAACATTTGCATGATGATAATGAACTGATTCAGGCCCATAATAAAAGAAAATAAGAATTAGTCTCATAGTCAAATACTGACTTAATGTGATGTTGGTCTCGGTTCGAGCTCCCAGGGGTCTCTTCAGAGGAATTTAACAAGTGATTAGAAAGAAACCAAAGAAATGTTTAAATAGCAAAAAGCTTATAGTGAAACAAGACCACCTTCTTCTCAGTGAGGAATATCAGTATGTTTGAGTAAATCTTCAATGAGCATAACTGAATTAATTCAATATAATCAAATGGCTGCTTAATAAATGTTTGTTGATTAAAATTAAATTCAATTATTTCCCCTTCTAAACTTCCCTTGGAGAAGAAGTTTAGATGCAGTTTAGATGCAGGTTCTGCTGTAGCCACCATTGTGTCTTATTAAAATCAACCAAGTCACATAAACACTCACTTGGGTTTTTGCTTTTCATTGCTATGAAGTTCAAATGGAAAGTAAAAGTTGTAAAACAACTACAAAGCTGAGAAAACAAAGGGCCATCTATTGGAAACACTCTGGATCACTGTGGAGCAGTGATCTCCACAAAGGGGTGTTTTCAAGATGATCCATTGTGGTTCAGGAAGAAAATACCAAAATTTTCAGTTATATTTATTTCTAATCTTTTAATTCCTAACTTTTATATATGATATATTTGTGTGTCATAAAGTATATGATAAGTGGTGATTATAACCTGGTATTATAAAGTGCATAATATGGTGTTGGTGTAGTATTTTATATATCTATATCTATATATACACACATAAATTATATGTACATACTAATGTAGGTATTTAATTACACATACACCAAATAATTATGTCTATGTGTATACCTATTTATGTATATTGTATGTAATATATACTTTTACACACATATATGCAACATATGTATATACATAGACATAATTCTACCTGAAGGATAGAAACCAAACTCCCAAATGTGCAGCCCGAATGCTTAATGGGCAGCCCCTACCCTTCCAGGTTCAGCTCCTTCTCTTCCCAGCACCATGTGAAAGGCATTGAGAAGGATGCTCTGCACCTTCCCACCTCAGGGTTTTGCTGATCCTGCTTCCTACTCACTCAGTTACCTCTTGCCCTTTCCTCCATCCAAGGACTTTAAAGTTCATCTCAATGTCATCTTCTCTCTGGGTCTTTCCCCATGCATGGCAGAGCCATTATTTCTCCCAAGGGATTTCCATGTTCCCTTATGCAAACACCATTCCTCCAGTTTTGCACTAATACTGCATCATTTCTGCTTCTGTATGGATCTGTCTTTTTTTTGTACAAGGCATGTGTAGGCTGGAGCCACATCTTATTATCTCAGTGCCTAACATAGAGGCTGAAAAGTAGTTGGTATGAAGAAAGTAATTAAAGGGAATAAGATTTTTATTACTTGCTATAATTATTCCATACTTGTGTATTCTTACAATGAGACTAATACATAAAATGAGTATTAGTGGAGCATGTTGTATTTTTCTCTTTATCTTTTCAGTCCCCAGGCATACATACAGTAGATCAGATGACCTGAAATACATTGAACTGAAATGGAAATCTGAATGGAATTGATCACCTTTACCATATAAATCTATGCACTGCAAACCATCCAGAGCCATTGAACCAATGCCACTTACAGCATTCCTGTGTGAATGCCACTTTATCAGCATTTCCATGCACTGTGCCAAATATAGTCGCCCATCCACTAGTGTCCCCTGCGAAATGGTGATAAATATGTCAGTTATGCTATAAATCAAACATCAAAGCACAAAACAAAAGTCTAAGAATTTGATATGAAATCAGTTAAAAATTGGTTTAAGGAATAGAATAATAACATTGAAGGTAAGGTAGAAAAAACTAGGCAGACATCTGGAGTTTTTTCTTTTTTAAAATTATATTTCAAATATATGGATCAGAAAATATATAATGGGAATATGTAATAATTTTATGCACATCTTGAAAAATGTCACCTATTTTCAATGCTGACATTTTTTAGTTTGATCTTAATTTTGAGATCCCCAGAAAAAAATATAATTAAATTTTTTGTAATATGCATACTACTGCATATGGATATGTAGATGTGTACCTGACAGGTGTGATGAGTTCTGACAATATTTATGTCACCTGATGTTTTTAATAAAGCAAAGTCCCCTTTAATAAAAAGTATCTAGTCCTATGGAAAAAAATAATATTTTCTCAATTTTCAGAAGATATGACCTGCTTATTTGCCAAGTTTCTTTCTCTTTTTTTGAAGTAAAATTGTATTTTCAAAAAGGAGGCCTGGTTTTGAAGTGTTGTTACTTTATGATATGTTACTGTCATGATAAGATACGCATTAAATATATGGCACCAAAGTTCATACAAAAAGTAAATTTAAATAGTGGCCTGAGGGTCCCTTGATCCCTGCAACCTTTAATTTAGTCCTATTTCTTATTAATATCCTCAGTGGTTCTTACAATGATTCTACTTGAAGCCTTTACATATATTATTTATTTTGCATTCAGAGCACATTCATGACATAGACAAACATGTAGTCTCTGATTCCCATGCAGTGAAGAGGAAAAGACCAACAATCTGAATGGCTTGCCACTGGCGTCTGGAGAACTGCAACCTTGCTGAGCACAGACCAAGTGCCTACTCTGTATTCGACTGTTCTAAGGCCTTGTGACACCCAAGTAAGACAAAAACAAGAACTCTTCTTGAAGAGTTCATGTCTAGTAAGAGAAGTACGATGAAAAGTCAAGGTAGTCCATAGTATAGTCACATACGTACCCCAGAGTGCCATGGACAAGAGAAAGAGTGCTTCTCCTAGACTGCTTAGAGCCTCAGGGTGGGGAAGCATGGCTGAAGAGGTCAATCTGCTCAGGTGTCTCTAACTGCATTCTAAAGTATGAGTGGGAGTGATCCATGGGAGGTGAGGGTGAAACTTCGCATCAGCATGAGATCTGCCTGAGTACCAGGGCAAGAGAGCAGATTCCAGAGGCAGGTGCTCTGTGTCCCTGGACTTGACTGTGTGACTTTGACTGCCAGCTGAGCAGCACCAATGAGTGGCAGTTGTGTGTGGTATAAAACATATGGGACTCTTTCAGATTCAAATATCTAGATCCTAGTGTGCACTATGTGACTAACTAGACACGTCAACCTCCCTTGGGCTCTTTGAGTAGAAAATGCACAGGGTGTATTAGACAATATATATAGCTTCAATATACAGATCTAAAATGGCCCAGTGAGACCCGTTGTGTCTGGCCTCTACTTAGCTGTTTACTCTCCAGATTTTTGTTCACTCTGCTCAAGTCACACTGTTTTGTTTTGTTTTGTTTTGTTTTGTCACACAAACACATTGTTTTATTTTGTGCAGCCTCAGGGCTTTTTCACTTACTTGTTCCTTTGCCTAAAACTTTGTTCCTCCAGAATATTTCATGGGTTCTTTCTTCTTTTCATTTTATTCTCATTTCAAACATTATCATCTCAAAGAGGTTTTCTCTGGTTATGTCTTTAAAGTAGTCTTCCCTCCAAATCATTTTACAGCCCATATGTACTTCATAGCACTACCACTCTGAAATTACTTAATTCACTCCTGTATGACTTCATTGTCCTCCTTGTTCACATGGTCCATGTGAACTTCATGAAGGCAAGACTCTCATCTCCCTTGAGCCTGCTTGGTCCCAGTGACTTTGAGAGCACTTGGCACCTAGTGGGTACTCAACATGGGTCTGTTAAACAAATTAATTCTCTAGGTAGGCTCCTTTGCACTGAACCAATTACCAAAGCATAATGAGGTAGTCATAGGAAGCCATTTAAAGTTAAAATATGGGTATCCAAGTTGAATTTAAAATGTAATTTTAATTTCTATCAAATATAACACTTTATAATACTGTGTTTTAATTTTAAGCAACTTCTGTATATGAAACTTCAGTTAATTATCACAAGTAAATTGGGGAGTAGTATTTGTGACACCAAGTGATTCCCTATAGAATATCAAGCCACCTCTTTCAGTTCATTACAATTATTATCTGATTCACCCACAGCTTGGGGGCTCACAAGGTGGGGTACAAATATGGAGCTAAGCGGGGTCCTTACCACAGTTCTCCTCATCAGCACCATTCCCACAGTCATTCACGCCATCACAGTGAAAAGCACGTGGTAAGCACTTGGTCAGATTCCCACAGGGAAAATATCCCTTTTGGCACAAAGGAGTAATTGTATTGCCTTTAGTCAGTGCAAAATCTGTGTGAAAGAGGAGATAAAAATCTTACATAATAGCAAGAAAGTGTAATATGGCCAAACTCTTTTCATGTTATCCCATTTAATTTTCACAAGAACCTTATAAATTGAGTTTGTCTGATGATTCTTAACACACAATTTATATGCATAATAGTCTTCACTAGAACATTCTAAAGAATTGTGATCATACCTAATACCGGCTATACCAAGAATGGAATTAAGGCTCATTTTGAACTCACTTCTGGAGGTCTATAGTAAATAATACCAAAGCAATTGTCCTACTTGTGTAGGACAAAATCGAAGCCTTGTCCACTCCTAGAAACAGAAAGGCAAAGCCATGAGCTCATGGATCAAATGATGAATATATTTACTTATTGATCTTTTACTAGAAGGATTTGAGGATATATATATATATATATATATATATATATATATATATAAAGGGCAGTGTAAGTGTAAATTACAGAGAAATCCACTTGAAATACACACTTCCACACTTGAAAAAGAAGATAATAGTAAGTAACAATGTCTTATTGAGCTTACTGTGTGCCAAGCAGGTGTCACAGTGGTTTATTTCAATTAATCTTGAGACAAATCTATGTATGGGTGATATTATCCTTTATGTTTGAGGGGTAAATACAGCCCCTGGAAAGTCATGAAGGGCAGATTTGAGTCATCCCTCTGACTCCAGAGGCCCCTATGAGGACAAATTAAACAACTGTTGCATTAGATGAGGGCATGCAGAAAGCAAAGATCATTAACATTTGCAGAATTACTATATCTGGGGATAAAAGGACCAAGAAATTTCAGAAATTTAGATGTCAGAGACATTCTTGCAATTTTGCAAGTGTACTCTCCAGGAAATAGAGATGTGTTCTTTGTACACACTTAGGTAGAAATACACTCAGGCATGGCTACAGTTCAGTATGATCAAAAAGAGTGAGGGATGTGGCAAAATATCCCTAATTGTGCTGCCAAAAATGGCATCATGGCCAGAAATGTGTTTGGGTTGGTGCTGCAATGTTTTTTAATGTGGCAGAAGTACAGAGAACAAACCTTTGTGGAGCACCATCTAATTTGTGCTGCATGTCCCCTGATTATTTCACTTAACGGCAACTTGGTGTGGTTAGTGATCTCCATGTAAAAACGAGAAAACAGAGACTGAAAATGTGAGAGCATTTCAACTCTAGATCTGGGAAAATGCCCTTGTGAGAGCTGGGCTCTCTAAGCACATGCTGCCTTGTTGGGAGGGGTCTGACACCAAGTTCTCCCAAAGTAGGTGGAGCCTGCTGCCCTCATTGTTTAAGGAATGATGCCATTTTTTTTAGGGCAGGAGTTTGAGTTTTGTCACTAAAGCTATGTGTGAGTTACAAGTTCATGTTAAGCTTTTAGAAAAATTATTAAAGGATGAGTGGAATATTTGATTACTTGAGATTTACTTAGTCCTTTAATCATGAGGACTCTCTATTGGGGACTGGCTCTCTTTTTTGAATGGCCATTTGTAACCATACACACTTTCCCTGGAAGCTGTGGCCCTTCTCCAAGTGGGGAACATAGCCCTCAGATGCTTTTCTACCCTCTGGACTTTTGTCCTTACAAAAGCAAACTATATTGTCTCTGCTATTGCTGCAGTGGTAGATGTTCTTTGACATTTTTAAAAATAGTACTTCACAATTAGAAATATTTTGTATCACAGTTCACCATACAAACACACATGGTGACTGAAAACAAAATTTCTTGAAGTGTTACTTGCTTTTACTATGAGGGATGTACTTTGGTCATTGCTATTCTATCTTATTCACTTGATAAGGGATCACAAGCTACTAAGTTGAGCCCATGATCCATTCACTAAGGAGGTGTCACCCAATATTTATGATTTTACTTATACATAGGATATAAAGCAGTAAGCAAAAAACAAAACAAACAAACTTATAGACATAGACAGTAGTATGGGGTTACCAGAGGAAAGAAGGCTGGGGATAGTGAGAAGAGTGGAAACAGGAACAAGTACATGGTGATGAAAGGAGACTAAAGTTTGGAAAGTGAACATACAATGCAATATACATACTATGTATTATAGAATTGTACATTTGAAACATACATTATTATTAACCAGTATTACCCTAAGAAATTTAATAGAATTAAAAAATAAAAATAAATAGATATCTGAAAAAGATGGGGGCAAGGTAGGTGGGAGCGGAACCCACTTCTCCCTGTGCCCAGGTACCACACCTAGCTAACCTTCTGAGGAACAGAGTGAATGGCCAACAGAATTCCAGCTTATTTGAAGTTTGGAGGCCAAAAATTGTAGAGGACATTGACAAAACAGATGGTGAGGCAATTGCCCTGGGATGCTAAGGTCCCTGGGATCTGCTCAGGGACCTAGGCTGATGTGGTCTCTGGCCCAGCATTTGCATCAGAGTATGGGGAGGAGAATTAGATCACCAGCTCCCTCCCCTACCAGAGCAGGGACAGCAGCCTGGCACCAGGAGGGACCTGGATGCTTGAAGTTGCTGGGGGGAATAGGGACGAAGTGGGAGATACAGAGGCTGTATATACCCGCTGGGACTGTGGACACTGGCTAGGTTATTACCAAAGAAATTGGGGAGCCAGGAGATGGCTGGAGAAGGGAGAAGAGTTGGACCATGTTGGACTCTGACCCGGATAGTCTCCAGAGTAGTTAGAAAGTTGGGCTGTGTGAAAAGTAGTGCACTTGTTAAGAATGGCAGGCAGCTGCTTTATAAGTAACTCTTGTGCAGTGGCTGGCTCACCCTGAGGCTGATTTGAGCTGTGCACCCATGGTTGGCTCAGGAAGCTTCCCAGGCAGCTGATTCTGGTTGCTCCCTACACCGGAAGCTGATTTGACCAGTGCACCTGAGTTCGACTCATGCTGCTTGCATGGAGGCTGAGTGGTGCAGTGGGCCCAGAGGCTGACTGGTACTGCTTGTACTGCTTGTCCTGCAGTGGGCTTTGGCCACAGTGGTCTTGAAAAGAGAAAGGAGGAGGAGCACCACAAGGAACTCAGTGCAACTGGTGAATTAAAGGCATAGGCCTGGTGCAGATGGATAGTGGGGGCCTGACAGCTCACAGAGGACCTGGGCTGGAGGCTGGGCAACTGTAAATATTGTGGCCCAGACCTGGTCCCCATCCTCCCCAAACCATAGGAAGGCAGAAAGGTGAAGCCCAGCCCCTCTCTTCCTGTGGCATCTAAGACCAGCAGAACTAGCTCAACTGGTTTAAAGTCAGCAGGAGGCTTATTTCTTTGTCTCTCCTTTCTCTCTCTTTTTCTTTTTTTCTTCCCCCAAGTGAGAAAATAAGACCTGTAGTTATAGAAGATCCAGAAACTGATTCAAAGGGGGAGCACAAGGTAAACTTCCAAAACTGGGAAACAGATAAATGTCCCTTTGTTATCCAATAGAACTGGCATTTTATTGTTTATTTGTATTATAATTTTTTCATCTTTTATTTTATTAGATTTTTTATTTCTTTCCTTTATGTTTAGTTTTCTTCATTTTATTTCTCTGTTTAATTGCATTGTTTGACTGGTTTTTCTTGTTTTATCTTTATTGTAATTTTCCTTCTTTCACTTCACTAATGTTCCAATAACACACTACTTTTTGTTACTTTGTACTTTCTATTTTAGTTATCCAAATCATACATTTCTTGTCATATTATTGTTGTTCCAGTACTATTGTTAATAATTGTTGTTCTATACAATTGTAAATACTACACAGCAAACCTCCCTGATCTTAGCCCACTTAACTTTATTCCTGAGATTTACTATTGTTGTCATTCTCTATTCTCTCACATGCTACACCTACTTTCTATTCTTTACTCCCACTATATCTCATCATCTAAACTTGCATGAGCACTCTGTTTTCTGTATTCAGCTCACAATCACCCTCCCCTCTAGCAAGAGTCTTATCTCTCTTTTACCTTTTATAAAAAGTCACTCGTTGGGTGAAATACCGCAGTTAACATCACACTTATCCAAAAAACCTCGTATCTCTTCTCTACTTGCTGGTACTTTAAATTCAATAGAATACTCTCCCCTGTCTTAATCCATTTTGACTACCACATGCTACTGATCACTTACAATAATAGGTGGGAGCTGTGAACATCAGTATATCCACTGGAGGAGAGAATGCATCAACAAATGAACCACCAAAAGGTAAAAACCCAAGTACAATAAGAGAGCCCACACAAACAGAAGAAAGGGAAAACCTAGAGCATCCAGACAAGGAGATCAAAGAGACCACACCACTGAATCCCACAGAATTCCTACCATGGTTCACCCTACAAGGACAGCTAGCAACACAAAACATCAGCAGGAGCAGAATTAAACAGAGTCGCCAAAAATGAGGAGACAGAAAAATAACCTGTAATCAAAAAGAATGGAAGACTCCCACTAAAAGAGTTAAATGAAATGGAAATAATCAAACTATCAGATATAGAATTCAAAGTAATGGTTATAAAGATGCTCAAAAAGTTCACAGACAATTACAAGGTACTGAGTGAGAACTACAACAGTATGAAAAAGGAAATAGAAACTATAAACAAAAATCAGTAAGAAATGAACAATAAAATATTGGAAATAAACACACTAGAAGAAATTACAAACAGGTTAGATGAAGCAGAGGACCAAATAACAGAGTTGGAGGATAAGGTAGAAAAAAAACACCCAGAAAGAGCAAGAAAAAGCGAAGAGACTCAGAAAGAACAAAGAAGTGTTAAGGGACCTGTAGGACAACATGAAACATAATGATACCCTTATAATAGAGATACCAGAAGGAGAAGAAGAGCAAGGGATAGAAAACATGTTTGAAAAAGTGATAATGGAAAATTTCCCTAACTTGATGAAAGAAAAAGTCACACAAATCCAGGAAACACAGAGTCCCAATCAAAAGGAACCCAAAGAGGCCCACTGCAAGACACATCATAATTAAGATGGCAAAACTCCAAGAAAAGAGAGAATCTTAAAGGCAGAAAGGTAGAAACAGGAAATAGCATATAAGGGAGCCCTGATTAGGCTAGCAGCTGACTCCTCAATGGAAGCACTACAAGCCAGAAAGAAATATTCCAAGTAACAAAAAGCAAAGGCCTGCAACCAAGACTACACTATCCAGCAAGGCTCTCAATTAAAATGGAAGGTGAAATAAGAAGTTTCTAAGACAAAAGAAGCCTCAAAGAATATACCTCCAAACCAGCTCTGCAGGTATGAAAAAAAT